TATGATCATATCTAATGTATGCGGAGTTCATCCATCCAAATTCTTAGTACGCCGGCGCATGCAATAGTCCCATAATTTAGAATGCTGTCAAACATTTCAATCCACATTTTGTTGTATTATGCTCTAATTGATATGGAGACTTTTAGATAAAGAATACTGGTTCATGACTAATTGAGAGTTTAATTTAGTGATCAGAACTTGGGTACCCTTGCATGCTATGAAGATAGACTTAAAATATAAGGATAAACTTTTTGACTAAAAAAAAACAACATATAATGCAATTAATGTATTTTATGATGACAAATTTGTCAAATTTGAAGTACACAAAGAATCTTTAATTTTTCAGCTAACGACATATCCACCTGTGACGAATCTCTCCGAGATAAATAAAAGAAATCACTGATCCTCGGATTTAAATCTACATCTGTATTGACATGGTTCTTGAACATGGGTCCCCCCGAAAATAGTCAGAAACTGTAACAGATTTGTCTGTTATTTGACCCAGACTTATGAGTCATAATCCTAAAATCTATCGAAATCTTACATACTCGTTTGTGGCAAATGCCCCCAATTTCATATTTCCAGCATTGCCAAAAAAAAAAAAAAAAAATCAAAACAATATGAAAAAGAAAACAAAAGTTCGTGTAGATATCTTTGAATTCAATGTGGTTCCATTGTGCAAGGTATTTCATTATATTTCCAAATTTGCTTTGCAGATATGCTGCATATTTCTTTTATCCATTCAAATTAATATGAATATTTCTATTGTGCGTATTCAAAAAAATAAAAGTTGAAGAACTCATTTCTTATATTCTACCACGCAAGCAGACAACAATGTTAATTTTTATCAGTACTTTTAACATCAAAAGCCAGGGATTATTTACACAAATGCCAAGTGTACCAGTCATTGCTCTTCTCTACCAGACAATAATTGTGCATTGTGCTCACCTTCTTAGCGACGAGAGATAAACATTTTTGTATATTTTCAATAAATATATATTTTGTATTTTCTTGATTATTCACTTGTTCTCGACACCTGTGAGTCAATCTTGACCTCTTTTACCTAAAAAAGTTGGCCCCACTGTATTTACCTTTAGATTCCTCGAACATTAAACACATGGCAAGTGAAACAAAACGTAACTTTAGTAACGAAACGCTTGAAAGATTAAGACATAAAGATAACATACATCAGAAAAAACTTCTAGGATCAAATCAGATTTCCTATCAAATTGTATTGATGATTATGGAGAAGTTCGGGAACATATATTGTTAAGGACTAGCTACCTTTGTCGTGCTTTTAAAATCTCAGAAATGTCGTTTTTCGCCTTACCAGACTACTCAGTGACACGAAATGATAACCGAGGAAGCTTGAAAACTGTGTTAGGTTACCCGTGAGACTACTGTCTTCTTTGGTCCCAGGAGTGGGTGGTCTAAATACAAAAGTACGGCAAAGTTGTACGAGGCAAGCTGCACTGTTGGTGAGAAAAAGGTTTCGAATCTTGAAAAAGACACAGTCTATGACCTCCATGGTGCACAGCGCAAGGGGAAGACCAAGGAGTCAATTGTGATAATTAAAATGGGCGAAAAGAAAAATCATCAAAGAAGAATAGGTCAAAAGTAACCCGGTGGTATATAAAAACATAACTCTGCTTATGTTGATCAGTTTGTCTAATGAACATCTGTTAGCATTAATACTTATACAGAGCGAATATAAATATTTTGTGAACTTTTTTCAACCCGACCATTTTCCTCATGTTGTTTTTTTTTCTTCGGAATAACTTTTAGACATTGTAGATTATTCGTGGGGAAGTAATCAAAGATTAGATATAATGAACATTGTCTGTTGAGAAAAATGTCTTCACAAAATTTTGTCTTTGATTTTGATGTATATCTCCCATTTACCTTCTTAATAAGTGAATCAAAATGCGGATAATGTTCTGTGACGAAAAAGAAACATTAATTTGTTGATGATATTACATATTAAAGACTATGATCATTGTGTAAGGGTGGCACTAGACATCGCGACAAAAGTTGAACAAATCAGTTAAGAGTCTCGAAGATTCTTGCCGTCTGGGACGCCTGAAACATTTGGTTTGTAGACTCTATGTCATTAAATCACATGCGATCATCGTCTAATTACTTGTTGTTGCTAATTGGATGCAACATCGTAATATTGCAAATTTCAAAATAATGACTTCTCCCCGATTAAAACAAACGCTGGCGTCACAAAAGCTTGTTAACATCGGAATGTGACGTAATGTAACGAGGAATTTTAATTGAATAATGGCGTGAAATTATAATCTTGTTTTTAATAAAACGGGTGTGTGAACGTGTCATTTTTCAGATAGTTGAAGAAAGAAAATCAAATATATATTTGAAGCACGACTTGACATAGTTCAAGCATGTGGTCTGGTTAATCGTCCATATAAAGCATGTCTGCTACAAAGTGAAGTCTCAATTACTATATTCCAAAAGTCAATTGACAAAAATTAATACTCCCCGTGCAGAAATACAGCATAATGGGATTTTAAAAGTTGATAGCTTCCTTATGAGCACAAGGTGTATTTATCGTGTCGAGGGTTGATGCACACAACAAAAGTCATTGAAAAAACGGGGGCAGGTTCCAAGGCCTTACTTGCATTAAAGGAGAATTTGAAACGTATTGAAGCATTTCACCTCAATCTAACTTTATGATTGAAAGCCGTGGTGACCTTTTTAGCTTTCTTTGATATTTACTTCAAATTTATTAAAAGCCGCCCTTGGCACACTTTGTGAAAGTTGTTGCTCAATACAGCATTCGAAGAATGGCGTATTTTTGATCTTGAAGTTTGTTCAACAACATTATTTTGAGAATAACAGCAAATTTGGCAAATATGATTAATTGTCAGATTTATACTGATTTACACATAGTCTGAAATAACTTACTTTTTCCAGACGTTTTTCTTATTTGACGTGCCACGTTTTCCAGGTACGTCAAATATAAAAGTCGTGAAAAACGCCTGAAAAAAGTTCGATATTTACATCAGAGTACATAAAGTTTATAGTTTACGGACGATCGTAGCATCATTTTGGATTTAAGATAGGGTAGCCCTGTCTTTCTTGTCCAGCCGATGGAATTATCTGAAAAGGGAATGTTGTATTTTAGATTACTTTTTCCCAAAGTTCACTTCATGTATTTGAAAAGAAAAATTCAACATCGGCAACGAACATATATGCACTTGCTTCACAAATTTTGTAGAATGACGTCACGTGATCAAAGTGATGTTTGATTGGTAAATCGATGGTATGGCGGAAGAGAGGTTCGATTCTTATTGTTCAGTTCTCATTACACAGCATGTTGTGTACAGTATTTAAAACCATGTACCTTACTCCAGAACAGTGGCTCACGGTCAATGATTGATAGAAACTTGATGAAGGGAGCGCTCCCTCTTTGATTATTTACCGCTACCCTTCCAAGAACAGAGAAACCAGAACAATACACACTGTTTCAAGTTTTTCGCAATTACAATCATTTTATCAATAATTTCGACCTTGTTTGTACTCTTCGACTGTAAGTTTAGGTAGCAGACTTTTAAAAATGGACACACATAGACAAATAAAGATGGAGAGGGTTAAAGCGTCTAGCAAACATTGTTTGTTCGGAGATCTTTGTTTGGCGTTTCAATGTATGACAATCTTAGCCAAGTGCCTGAAGTAGCCAATGATTAAGCGATAATCTCTACATGTTGGTCATTGTATCAACACCTTTTTTCCAAGATAAGAACATTTTAATGCGAAGACTGGTCTGAGAATTCACAGCCTAGGGTGTTATGATAACACTGCGGCTACCCTCTGTGCAATTAAGATAATGAAAGTAAATTGAATTGATAGAAAATCTCATCGCCTCAACGCTCATTAAACGCTTCGTGGGTGAACTATCATTTTGATTTGGAGGGAGAGACTGTTAGAAGCATCCATCAGAAAATCGAAATATACATGCTTTCATGAACTTTCGTTCGCTTAACTCTTGAGCAAGATAAATAAACTATATGTAAACCCACATATGACCAGAAATGAAAACAATCAAACACTAGCGCAAAAAGTGGAAGAAATCGAACATCTTGGCTGTAAAAGAGTGCAAAAAACGTCTTTTTGTAAATTCCATTAAGCAGATTTTGTTGTTTTTGCATTGTTTTTTCAATGATGATTAGAGAGTTCGGAGTTATCTTCTCTTCGGAGTTGCAATCCAGTCACAGCATAATAATGTAGGGGAACATCTTGTTTATAGCTGGTTGCTCTCGTAATAGCTTACAGTTGCATAGTAGTATTTTTTACATGATGATTAAATGACCTCAAAGTACAAACTCGGATTTTCTCTTCGTTATCTGATGACGTGACTAATGAGACTAGATTATTTAACCACCATCTTATTGATGTCATATTTGGAATTATTTCACACGATTGTTAACATTTTCACCCAGTTTGTTTCCCTTCAATTTCTTAAGTTGTTCCCTTTCCATTCTACAAATCATTGACCTTCGAATTTAAAAACCATTTCCAGACACAATAGAAAGGTGCTGGCCCACAATGTCATTTTGGTGAGACTAACCCATTACAATATCGACGAATTGCGAAAGGATGAAAGAATTGCTCGTACATGAATTTTGGTAAACTTCTTTGACAAAGGAATTTTTCACGAAAGAAACTCATCTTAAATATCATCTTGTAGTTAGATTGCTATCATTAGTCACCTGGTGCAGATTTTACCATGCCGTGCAAACAGTATGTCAATATTCCCTTCTACTGAACAAACAAGGGAATGTTTCTTATTGACACAGGTTGAAATCTATATCACACCATATTGCTGTCTTAAATAGGTGATGAACATCTTAAAAAATTCTGTTACTCGATCGTCGCACAATGAGTTAAGAGAGAGAGAAAAACTTTGTAGTTGTTTTCCGTTGGGAACCCTCTGGCAAGGACAGACAATACTGTCTCGAAAGAATGAAAATGAACAACTGTTGTATAATATTTCGTTTTTTATTTGTTTTCATGATTGTAACATAAGTAAATGTCAACATAGTAAATGGTCTGTTTTTATTTCAACATTGGATTATGCTATATTCTCGCGGATGCTATACCGCTTTACAAATTGACACTATCATATGATGACACGTTGATGTCGATTGTTTTCATCTTTTCTACTATACAGACAATAATATACTAAGCTACGATATCTTCAAGTTATTTATGCAATTATTATGTTCTAAGTTATGACATTGATGATTGTTATAAATACAATTACAATGATAATACATTAATATAAAAATCCCAACCACCATTTTTTCTAATGGTCGGGTAAAATAAATAAAATATAACAATAATATTTCGCCCCTGCTTTCGTTATACAAATCTTGTCTCTGAAAGCGTAACAGCAATAAATATTTTTGTATATAACATATATACCAACAAGAGTTGTACAAAAAATGAGGCATTAGTTGTTGTCAAAGACATCCAACCAATAGATTTAAAATTGGACTGAAAACGAGGTTTAACTTTTTCTTATACATTTCGTGGTAGTCAGGAGATACTGCAAATTCGACATGGAACAAAGCTACTCTTCAAAATATGGAATGCGTTTTCGTCACAGATAAAAAAAAAAACGAAAATCAATTTCATCGTAATGTAAGTAAAACCTCGTTTTCAAATCCATAATACTTTCGGGTGTACAAGACTTTATTTCGCATTAGAACACAATATGCAACGAGTTGCCATGGTGATCAAATCTAAAATCGAAAAACCTGACTAGATTGACAATTTTAGTATGGTTAGAAGAATCATAGGAATTGGTCTATAAGCATAAAAACACCCAAAACGAAAAAAGATATTGAAAACCATGAAAAATGTCTCTGTGTGAAATTATAAGGAAATGATTAAATTGATTCGTATCGCCATGGCAACCTCTTGGGATGGACAAGGAACTTTAAAAATTATCTGATTAACATAAAGCACATTCATGTACTCAGCTAGCGCCACCTAGAGTCTTACTTGAACTACAAGCAGACAACTCGTGAAGCGGTGACGAAGTTTGCAAACATTCGAACCACATCCATACCTAACCTTATAAACTGATGATTGGTGACGTCATCTAAACCTAGCTACAAAATGAGACAGCAGTGGATTTCAGTTAAGAGTTTCCCCATAATTTTGATGAGGAGAAAAAATTCTGTTTATGCATTGGGACTAAAAGGCACTTGAGCCCTTTTTGTTGGGATATGTATCTAAACTAGCGGGCTGCGCAAGCTCAGTGATTCGATAGTCCGATTATTTGCACTTTTTGTCAATACAACCAAATAAAGAAAGACAATTAGGTAATACGAATAATATCAAGGTAGCACTTGCCATTGACTGCTAAATTCTATCAATGGGTCATCCTTTTTCTATTTGCATAGTGTTTTAACTACGGTGGCCTCTAGATTAATAATAAGACTAGTCTATATTCTACTAATATATAACATTACAATGATATGTACAATGCTCAGCGACAACAATGATATTTTATAAATATCGAATATTAAGTCTGTAAAGAGCTAACGACTTTACACAATAACAAACTCATCAACCTCTCACGACCGCGGTCTCCGTCCTACCATAAAGAGTGAAGAATGTCATGAAGTCTACAAATTATAATTATCAGCTACATTTCACATTTCATGTGACCAATGTCTTTTGCATGTCATGACCTATGACCTATAAAATATGATGGCAAGGTTGAGCTAAATGGACGGAGGAACCACGTGATTCAAACATAAAAACAACGATATTATAAATACTTCGATACAATTAAGATATATAAATAATACGGTGATTTTGAACTGTACTTGGGAAACGCTTTTTACTCTAAGCTTATCAAGCATGTATCCTTTCAACCTGCTCGCACTTCCACAATGTAGATTTAAATACAGACATCTCGCCCTCGCACTCTTTCACCCCAAAAGTGTTTAACAAACTTTCACTCATTTCAGTTCATTTTCTTGCATAGAGATCAGGCAACTTATTTCTTACCGATTTGCTATATGCATATATAATTAAAAATTTGAGAGAAACGTATCGATGTAAAACTGTTTAAAAAATGTCTTTAAAATTTATAACTTAATGGTGGATCAAGAATTTGCTCCGTTCTTTTCCTAGGACGGACATTTGGTCATTGTTGTTTTTTTTTTTAAATAATTGAGTTCGGTATGAATACTGCTTGTTCTCCCCGAATGTCATCATTGCATTCTTTCTTGTATTTGCTGGGGCTGATAGTGTATCGCACTACCGCCTGCCACTAGTGCAGGTTGAGGGATGGCGGCGTAAGTATATCCTGCAGCAGTGGGTGTGATCAGGCCACCAGCGCTTGAGGCGTAAGGATATGCTGCCTCGTATGCTCCAAATTGAGAAGCATATGCGGTGGAATAGTCAATCAGCTGTCCTGTGGTGGCCGCGGCTGTCGGTGAGAGTGGTGAATGCGGTACGGCAGTGGTGAGCACACTGGCGGTAGATGGCGCTGCTACATAAGCTGTGGACGGATATAAATACTGAGGAAACCTGTAATTAGACAAAAAAATAACTGTCAACATTCAACCTTCTAGGCCAATTACGTCACAGAATACTAAACATAAGATATGATCCATGTGAATTATGATAAACAGAAGGAGACGCTTTTGAATAAGAACATGGAACAGAAATACTTGATCATTGATAACCATTATTCATGTTGAGTTTCAATACACTGTAAGTGTGTTGGCAAATAAAATTTCGCACAAAGCTCTCTAAGACGTCGGAGTTAAAACTCTACTCAAATCACTTCTCTTTCTTATTTGCACACCCAAAACTGTATTGAGCAACAATTTTCAGCAAGAATCCTATTTTGGAAGGCAAAAATTATATTCCATGGAGGATATGTCTTTTTTTTCATTTTAGCCTCGCCAATGGTTACACGTGTTCCCTAAAAGATAATGTATTGCAGTCTTCATTGTTTGAATTTTATGTCCTAAGAAATAAAGTGCAGTGACGGGTCACGGAGTTGCCAGACAAAAAAAGATCATTTAAATGTGTTCATCATTTAAACATCAAAGGAAATTCTGTCATAAAATGTAACTTGAAAAAAAAACTAAGAAAACTGACAATTTTCCTATCGAGCATGTCTGAAAGTCAATATTTTTTGTATTAGAGAGTTTCAGTATTGATCTTTCTTCAATACTGCTATTTAGTAGCACCCCGCAAAACAAAAAAAACTTCACTTGGTCTCAATATTGGACAAAAGTTGTTATAGAATAAACTGGGTACATTCTGTAATGGAAGAATCGTAGAATTTTCTTTTTAAGCAATCTAGTTACTCGCATGTCAGCACAGGAATGTTCAATCAATATCGAGTCATTTATCAGCACCGAGATTTCAACTGTCGTTTCTTAATCCTGTAAATGTTCGAGATATATACACATCAAATAAAATACACTACCGCCATTTTTACGCCTAGCAAACGCAAACTAAGTTATACAAAGAAATGTTTCACTTTCTTTAAAATCTTCAATAGATCAGAGAGAAAGTGTACTAGCATTGATTGAGAGTTTTATCTGTGAGAGTACACACCGTCTTTCAGGTGGTGGATCAAAACGTTTTCGTTCCATTTCTAGACCAATAGCAGATAAAACCCCAGTGAACTTGGAAGTGTTTAATACGTAATAAAATTCCAAGATCCGCCACTTAGTTTGAGGTATACTCCGTAGGATCGCCCATTGGAACAATTAAGCTGAACATATATCGATATCCAAAATATGCAATTCCTGCCCAACCCCTAGATCCATCTCTACATTCTCGAAAATCTAATCACGAGGAAACTTCAATGAGTAGTGCATCAAGGCAATCAATTTATGAAAAAAAATTAGCAGGCGTAAAATTTCAAATGCAGCGAAAGGCACGAAACACAAGATATAGCACCAAAGCTGAGTTAATTAATACTCAAGGGATAAACTATCTTCTAAGAATATTTCACCCCCTGTGTGATAAAAAGCCTTCAAATATATAAACTGTCATGATTATTTATAGTTTATTCCTGGTCAAATAAATGGAAACAACTGTTTCTACTTTCACCTAAAAAAAAATTAGCATTAAATATTTGATCACCGTGTTCTGATACATTTTAAGTTTAACTGAAGAACGTATTATAATCTCAAAGGAATTAGGTAACGGTTAACTTTACGATATTATGGAAAACTGTGTCGGTTGACAGATTGAGTCATATTTGTTTGCTTTTTATTTTATCCTTTCAGTGTCTCGGCTTCCCAAATCCTGTCTCCTATTATGATCAGTTCAGTTTTATGTATATCAGTATTTACGGAGATATCACAACAAAATTACTTCACCCGCAAAGGGGTTTTCATTCCGGGACGTATTATTTACTTATCCCTATAGCCTAATTCAGCGCTGATTTATTGAAAATATAACCTTTATGGGACTCGCTATGAAGCCTAGAAAATCTAGTCCCGTTTCTCTTTAAACTGTCTTAGTGTCATCTTCAATCTTACGTAACATTTAAGGTGTGATAAAAATGCGGTGGAAAAAAGAATTAACCAATGATCCGTTATATGAAACTAAGTAAAAATTTGGATTTTTCGAATATTGCTAAGGGAAGACTACTAGGATATGGTCAAAAGAGAGAAGTAGGTGAATGGGAGTGATTAACTGCTTTTTTCAATTGCATAAACGTGTCAGCTCTAATCATAACAAATCGTAAAGGCTATAGAACTCCCAAATGGCCTTGCCCCTAAATCTCCCCTCGTTAGGATCAATGTAAATATTTCTTTTGTTAATTGTTTGGTCATCTGATTAATCCCGGGAGAGTGCCTCTAATGACATGTTACAAAATGAGTGATAGATCACTCCAAGTAAACTACTTGCTTTCGCCATAATGACCATCAAACGAGATAGATATCAGATTTGACCATTTTGCAAATGATAGAAATTCAACAGAAAATGTTAGAACGAAATAATGTCGTATGTAAGTACCAAAAGGTATTTGTTAGGATATTTTCCAAAGCGATTTTATCAAGTGTTACATTTATACTATGAAGTGGAGGCGTTTAAAAAATGCGGATCTTGTTTATAAAAGACTAGCAGGATGTTTAATTCCAACCGAAACAGAAGGCCCAGGGACAGCTTGATTGTGACGCCATGTTTATTCCTCACCTCTATTCCGACTAAATACTTCACAAGCTACGACATATGTTTTTAAAATTTTCCATAGGAGCTTAATCATTTATGGGTCTGATTTTCACACTTTGAAAACAGATGTTGTTTAAGTTTTTGTCTGAAGATGCGGCCAATTCCTCTTCAAAAAAATAAGGGTTGAACAAGAATGTCGAATGTTAGGAGCAATCAGATGTGAGCATCGTTTGATTCCATGTCCAATCTACTGACCTCTTTGAATGAAAACAAACTCACTTACACTTGCGCTCAATTCATATAAATGTATCGACACTTGGCCCTCTAGCTTTGAACTATTTGTAATAAACTTTGAAGAACTTTCGCCGCCACTTGAAAATTAATCTGAGATTTTTTGGCATTTTGAAATCGTACCTCGGATGAAATGTTTAAAACTATTGATAAAGTTTATCTTTTGAAAAGGCCACTCTCCCCCAATTCAGGTGGAAGTCATTTATTTATTTTCGTTCACAAAGCTTGCCGACACCGAGTCAGATTTAATGCAAGTTTGACCATTCAATGAAATGTTTTATGGACGAGATAAACATGTCTTATCGGTACTCAAAGTCGTCTAGCATTTTCGTCCAACTTGTAAAAAATCGTTTCTACTATGGCATGTCTAGCAATAGAGGTTGCTTACTTCCTGCCTTTCTGTTTATATTTACTTTCGATGCCACAATAAGAACAGTAAGCGTTATAAAATGTGACAAAATCAAACATAGCACCAACTTCCAAACACAAACAGAGCTACTTCGGGGGAAACTATTTCTAATCCGAAAACCAAATGCGGTGTCCTGCTGATTTCCGGTTCTTGTTTGTGTTGCTTTTAAACTCCCATTTTCTAACTCTCTTTCATGTTTCTTGCCGTTTGTTAATACAATTTCAAAAGTAATGTGAAAATTCTAAAAAAAAAAAAATAAAAGGTGAAATAGTTCACAAAATTCCTACAAAAAGTGTTCAATACTTTGAAAAACGATAAGAATACAATTCACCAGTGTTAGTATATTATTTACAGGGGCGACATAAGTATTATAATTATGTTAAAAGTAACAATACTGGTATTTGATGAAAAAGTATTTTCAAAGTGCAAAAACCCCACGTCACTCTCTGTCCATTGGCAAAAACACCACACGGGAAAAATTAAACAAAAAAATCAAGTCAACTTGAGTGTGGTGTGACATGATCGAGCTGCACACAAAAAATCAGAGCAGACTCTAAACACCGTCCTATTCAGCGCACCTGAACCCGGATGTTGGTGGGCACGTGATCATGAAAAGAGTACAGGTGCTCTGATTGGACTGCTCATCACATTGTCATGGAAACAAGAGGAATCACACGTATTGTCAAGCAAAAAAGAACGAAAGTTTGTAAAGAAATAAACAAATGACCAAAATACACTTCAAACGGAAAAAACACTGCCAAAATTTAATCACCGATATCTTTGCTTCCATAATTTTTGGGATGCATAGTAACAGCATCTCTTGACTTAGACCAGAAAGACTGCGTCAGATGGTTACAAAATCGGCTATCCTCTAAAATTGGTAAAACATGTATGGAGTGAGGATTATGAATCTTATGACATACATTTCTTCAAGACTTTCTAGAAGTCAGATGATGAAATGACTAAGCTATGACCTATTAAATGTGTGAACTAGCACCTGATTTAATGATATGTACAGTATAAAAAGTTTCAGAATATATTACAAATACTTTATCAATGTGATTTATGTGCTAGGTAATGAAAGATTTCTTACCCATATTGACCTGGTATGAGACCGGGTACACCTTTCACGGCTAGCGGAATACCTAAAATTACAGATAAAATCAGAATAAATGATATCCCATGCAACGAAATGACATCATCATAAAGTGTTAAAAAACATCAAAAAGTGCTTGGGCCTAATTATGTTTGCCAGAAAGATATTACACACTATAATCCAGCAGCTATTACTTCTGGTGTAGTGTAATCCAGGACGAATTTCTTGGAATACAGGTCTCAAACAGACGATTCTTATTACAAAAAATAAACAATATCGTGGAACTAGGACGAGCTTCCGTCTGCTGAAGGGGTGAGAGGCGATGGGGGTACTTGTTAATAAATCACTTTCCCTTGTTTTGATATGTTTATATAATAACACAATCCTCGAACAAACTGACTCAGTAGCATAAACGTAAAGGAAGAGATTGCTGTAAATATACCTTTTTGTTAAAATGTGACGAGAAATCTGACTGGACGCCTCTCATTCCGATTTTGGTGACTTTTTTTGAGCACATAAATACATTGTATGATAGGAAGACTTCAAATAGTCAGAAATATATTAATATATTTTGTTATGTTTGATTGAAATATGTGAAGTTATGAGATTCCGTTAAAATCGATTCCGAGATACAAGACTCGATCGTGCCCATTATACGCCAATAATACGCTAACGTGCAAAAAATATGTGGAAAAGGAATGTGGTAATTGTTTTCTTGTTTGATTAAATAAATGCAATAAAATTTTCCAAGATAAGAGTATTGCCGCACAGGTGCGTTTGTTTTATACAGTCCATCTTGCTTTGATCTTTGTCCACGGCAAGTTTTATTAACTTCCATACACTTACTCATATGTTCCCTCAATATCCCTATGATCGTTAACTCGACAACGTTCATTACCCTATGGCTCAGTGCGAGTTTTACAAAGTACAATGTATTAGATGACATTTTGAGGCATATTAAAGGAGGATTGGGGGATTAGGCTTAAATCTTTGGATTATTTTGTATGTTATAAAACTTGATAAACCACAGCACACACCAACGGTACATAATTTGCCAAAATATATCGTAGAAGATATTCAATGAAATATATATGTGGTAATTTCCACTATCATTAATCTATGTCTCATGACTTAATTTTGGATAAGAAATAGAAATTCTCTTTCAGAATACAACCCCGAAAATTGTTCTGTCACAAAACAGAAGGGCTGGACTTTCCCCAGTCCCCAAATATCTCCCGTAATTTATTTATTATTTCCATATGACACTCCTAAACCAAATAGTGGAGATACAGTCTATTTGCCCTATTTACTTTTACGCTTTTGATAAATAAGTCATCAAAAGATGAAATAGGACGTATATATGAATTATTAAATCCAGTTTAACACAACATTGAATCAAAAAGGTTTATCCTTTTGAATGCAGTCTTTTCTGAATTTTGGGAGGAGTTTTTACATTCATGCTACTAAATTTATCAGGCCTCTCTCACTGTGTCCGTTTGGGACTGGATTGTTAATACACGTGCCTATAATAATTGCTTAAAATATCACGCTAATTAAGACATGTTACTTCATGAGTTGTGCCAATTATCTGTAATTGCCACACATCTTTGTACATACATATGGTAAATGACACGCTTTCGCATGTGTAATAATAGTTTGCTAATTTTAGCAGCCATGGTTCGTTTGAGTGACCATGACTTTAGTTACCTTATAAAGTCACTGTATGGTGCTTGGTAATTAATAACTTAAAAACATAACAATCCCATTATGGCCCCGCGACAGCATTCATGTTTGTTTTAAGGTATACATTGTTCTCTCCTAGGTTTAACAAATACCGATATATAGTTTTTTGATAATGACCCCTTTTTCCGCACCGATAAATTTCTATTAACTTTTAAAATACTGAGTTATATAAAACAAATTATGTTTGCTTGATCGGAATCTGGTTAAAGTAAATTGTTAAAACTTGATGTTTGTGGGAGATTAAGCGATTAAAATCAAAATATTCAACAAATACGCATGCTCAAACATGCGACATCAGACCTCGGTATGGATATCAGAATTACGCTTCATGCTTTATGAAATCAAATAATCTTTTTCAAAACCGCATTGTGTTTGAGTCTTGTGTGCCAGAGATCGTTCTAAATCTTTGATTTACAAGCCAAATTTATTAATAGACACAACAACAACTGTAATTTATGAAATTAATATGGAAAAAATTTCAAGCAACCGATATACAATGCTTTAAAAGCCTATTTGGTAGTGCTATATTTGTTTAGTTTTGAAGTATTGACTGTTAAATGCATAAATGTAAAATTAAAATCCATTTTCAATACATTATAATCCGTAACAGCAAAACTAGGCGAAATAATCTCTTGATTTGATTATTTTATGAGGATCATACGCTGAACACTGCATACATGACAGTTTACGAATAAATATTGAAGTTAGGACTAAAGATTTATTGGCAGAAATGGACATCTGAAACGGATTTTACTCTGGTTAACTTTTCCACATTGTTAAAAATAATGAATTATTTAAATCGTTAATTGATTTTACAAGTAATGAATTTAAAACCTTGCATGATTTCGTAAGGTCAAATGAAATACCAGGAATCACGTAGACAAAGAACAGGGAGCAATGTATGCTATACTGTGCTTTTACACAACAATTCACAAGCAATTTCTTTACAGAGACGAGACCAACATTTAGATTTGAAAAAAAAACTGTTTTTTATAATCTTGTGGTTTCTTTCAAGTGATATAGAATTTCATAACCTGAAGACCTTATACCATATGAAATGTTTGGAGGAAAGTTTTCGGTACCGAATGATGTACCTGTCTGAATACCTCTTGGTTTGGCCCCGAGGTAGGCCAGATTAACATTGGCCTTCCTTCCATCAATGATAGGATTGGGGTCTTTGCATGCCCTTTCTGCTGCCTCTCTATTAGCCATTGTTACCTGTAAATGCATAAGACACATAGTCAAAGAAGGACAAATAAATTCCTCTAAAACCAACAACTTTAGGTTTCTAAAATGGCCGATGAAGAAGCAGACAGCTTTTGTAATTTTACCAATAGATTTATTTCTGTAAGGTCATGCATTTTTTCTTATGGAAGTCTTTTATCACAAAGAGCTGGGCATTTAAATTAATAAATTGACAAGAAAACCTATACAACGATTAGACGTTAACCCGCGTTTCTCGTTGGATCAATCGGTGCAATGTCCCTGTAATCAAGCTTCGTTCAATAAAACCTTACTATATACTTACGGGTTTGATTAAAGAATATATTACAAAAACTCCAACTTAGGCTATTTAAAACGAAACGAGAAATTGTGGGGATTTGTGTTTACTCTATTTCAGTTGTTGAAATGTAAGGGACAGTGGGTACCTCTGTATGGAATTGAATTCCGTAGGAGAGGGCGAGAGTAAATGAAAATTCCCAATGTCGAGTTAACACGGGTGATGGATTGAAATCAGACAGAATACTCACGATAGCAGCCGATAGGAAAAGATAAACATGTTGATAACACCCCAATTTTTAAGACCTTATCTTACAGAAGTCAAATACATAAAGGTTTCCCTGAGTATAGAACTGGGCAAGAGGAAATGTCATTTGTATAGGTCATACCATGATGAAGCTTAAATTAAAGAAAGTGACAAGTTACAATAAAGGTACTTACAAATCCATATCCTCGGCTTTTGCCGGTCTGTCTGTCTGTAATGACAACAGCTTCCTCAATGTCACCGAACTTGTCGAAGAATTCCCGTAGCGATTTATCTGTGGTATGGTATGGTAATCCTCCCACAAAGATTTTGGTAAAAGTTGTGTCTTTCTGAGTAATTGTGTTGGCCATTTTTGTTTGTTGAGAAAAGGAATAACAATGAATAACTTAAAAAGCCCTAAGAATCACACACAAACACGTGCAGGTGAATTCCACCACAACTTCAACCTGCAACTGTCTAAAAAAGACTACGGCACACACGGACTAGAGAGGTGAATATCGATAGTGTGCAGCAGTTACAGCAGATCTGTATATTTGGCACTCTTCTACTACAGTGTGGAATCTATATCTTTTGCAATGTGTTTAGAATAAAGAAAACATAAAGCTCCGCCCACATGCATGGTTTAATGAGCCACGTGAAAGAGCCGTTAGTCCCGCCCCCTTTAACGCCTTCCTTCCAGCATCGACCTCCTCCTGAGCTCCTCGCCCGTTAGCGTGTCTTATCTGATCGCGTTATGCCAGATTGCACAGGGTAGTTTGTAATTTTGATATTACCGATCTAGCTAATGTTTTATTTAGATTTCGATAGCTAATGAATGTAAGAAATGATGCACACAACTGCTTTTTATCAGACGAGGACGGAATTTATTGTTATAGAGTTTTCTTTTTTTGTTTTTGGCTATTCTTGATATTTTGTGACGCCTTGGACTGGATTTTTTGGCGTTTGTCCAGCCTACTTAGCTGTCATTTTACATCTGTTTAAATCTGTTTATTTCAGTCTACTACCGATCGATCGCATACAATTTATAGCATGAAATCACGGAGTTTCAAAGCACACCATCACAGGATTTAAAGACCATATCTCCGACTAAGTTAGTCTTTGTTACCGCAGTAAGCTGTTTAAAGGGACAAATCCTGCTCTAATCCGAATAATAATACTGATTATCCATTTAATGTCGTCGCAATAAAAACTAATTTGCATAACTGACAGATGAAGTAACCTCTTCTACGCGGGAGATAGAAATGGCCATGTTGTTGTAGCAACGATAACAAAAGGTTTTGATTAGCTTCGTGGACGAATGAGGACGAAGTTCCAAAGTCACCTCAAGTCGAAATCAGTGTTCCGATTCGGTACGTAATGACAAAAAAATACGATCCATCTTCAGATTCGTTAGGGGTCCGCTGATGGCACGCATCAGATTCGTAAATTGTGTTTTTCTTTGCTCCCTTTCTCTTTTTGGAGTTACTACTTTTACAACAGGAATAATGTAAGGTAGGCGGCAGTGTGTGGTTTGAATTTGGCCTAGATTTGCTGTGCCAGTTGTTCATTATATTCTTTTTATCATATACTAACATTTTCTTCTTAGAAATTTGTTCCCCCTCTTTCTTTTTTTCCTCTCGATTTTTTTTTTCAATCCCCACGTAGCCGCTATCTGACGTGACCAAAGAACAAACACATTTCGGGATGCTGTTGATTTTTATGAAATAAAATATTTACTCATTAGATCTGTGTGTGCTTTTTTTCTCTTTTGTGTGTGATTTTTTCATTAGTGTGTTTTTGTGTGATATTTTATGGGAATTTGATGGAAAAAAATCACACCCTTCCTGCAAGAAAGTGCCACGCTTCCAGAACAGAAGCTGCGGTGTCGGATGTCCAAAACATTACCCCTGCTCCGTAAAATCCTGCGAATCTGAGAGAAGTTGTCTGATAGGGTTCATATTTTTTAAATCGTTTGGTGTGGTGTGAGTTTGGAGTTGATTTGTCTACTTTTTTATCACAGTAGTTGTGCCCTCAGCTTGTGCACTATACTGATCAAACCTCAGAGACCAATAAAAACAACAGCAACAAATATAGCTCAACATAGTCCACTTTTTTTTTTTTTTTTTTTTTTTTTTTTTGGTTAATTTTTACAATAAATAAATATATTAAGGAGGATAATGAGCTTTAAGTCTTAATACAGATTGAATTAATAAACTGTCAAATACAAAAGAAGGTTTTAGGAAAGTCACAGGTATCAGAAAATAAACCAGGAAAATTCCATTAAATACTTCTCCATACAATTTAAAATAAGTACGTACGGTACATGCTACATCTTTCCTGAATAATATAATTTCTTTGCTTGTATCCCTTTGCATTAAAAAAAAAATGAAAGTTGTGGATAAATGATCTGCAAACCTAGAGAACATTAAAAATGCGAATAGCATAAAAAATCACAAATATAAGTAAAATGTTGCGTATTTGTAGTGAAGCTTTTGATATGGAATTTGCGGAAAATGAAGCATTAAATATGGACGTGGTTCGATGGCATACAGAAAAGAAAATTAGGTAATAGAACAAAGTCTGGCGTTTGGAATTTATCAAGATAGGGGTACACAGATTACAAAACATTGTCCAGATAGAACTGTAGTGTCAGGCCAGGAAAATGTTTCTTTGATATTATTGTTAAAAAGACGGAATGGCAGGATAGAACTTTAAAAGAAGTCTTGGCTAGATTAAAGGGAAATGTTCAAGGAAAAAGTTACATAAACGTGAAATTTGATAAATTAATGGGAGAAAAGCAGTGCCTCTTGAACTTGACTGGGAGAGGAAATTTCTATCGAGGATATTTTTCAATTAATAAGAATATCGTGCAATTTATTTTAAGATAATTATATTATTGTGAAAAGTGAGCAAGTTTGAAACAAAGTTCAAGCGTGGGAACCTTATCTTAAATGACTATGTATTTTTTGTGTGTATTTTTCTATGATGCCCCTGTCTTATTTTCAAGAATGAAGACCATGGTCTGACTATACATATATGTGGCAAGTAACAGCAGCCATTGTTTAGATGGTGTTTACATTAGAATTTCAACGCAAAAAAAGTTTAACCTCGTTCGAAATGCAATTGTTAAGTAAACTGCAAGAGGGAACAATGTCGCATCTTGTATAGTAGAACGCGTTCGATAAAACTTTCTTGACATTTAAAAAAATCAACAACAAGTTAAGAAAAACAACAATTGGAATTGTCAATACCCTAGCAGGATAAGGACTGAAAGAGTTAGTGAATAAACTGTCTGGTGTATGTAGTAACAGCCGTAAAAATTCTCACTCCTTTGAAAACAAATACAGCTGTCTAAGGCATGGTTTGTTCCAATGTTTGTCAGAAATTGGTCTTCAGTTCCTTTAACTCGCTAGCATCTTGGAACACTCAAGGTTAAAGGCGAAATTTTGCCAGATCAATTATTGGTATTATTTATTTCTGTTGATTAAATTACTGTCATATTAATTGATCAATATAATTTTTAACAACTCAGAAGTTATTAGCTGGTTACAGGGCCATTGTTCGAAGACATTGATTTTCTTCAAAGGAAGTACAAAAGGGTTATTAAGGATAAGTTTTTAAGAGAAATGAACTTAAGTATATCCCAATAAAAGATCTATATCTTAAAAAAAAATTAATAATAATTAAGGCTTGATACATCAAAAGTCGCCAATTCTCGCCGGGTTAGGGTATTTCAATTAAAAAAGTGCATAGACGAGCAAATGGCCCAGCACTGTAGCCTGAAAAATACTTCAATATTGTATAAGATCACCGTGTAGCCTGGAAACTACCATTTTCTTTTTGATAAAGCACCATTGGATACCTGCTGGTTAGTTCATTGTGGTAGGGTTAGTATCTGTGATGTATTTTGATTTGTATATCTATTCGCTTTTACTGTTGTGTGTGCGATATTCTTCTTATCATGGTAACCAGCTGTGTTCAAATCCTTACACTCAATTACAGCAAACAATGGCCGATTGCTCCCCACCTCTTCTTGTGCTATAAATCAATTAATCCATATCCCCCCACCCACGGCCAGTGCGTTAAGCCGGACATTATACGTCCGGAGTAAGGGCCATGTGGCGTTGACCATCCCCAATGTTTATGGTCCACATACCCGCCAGGGTGCTCGATTTACTTGTCCAGAATTGTCTGACTAATTATTATTTTTTAATTAATACCAGATTCTGATGTTGACGATATTACGTAATCCTCGTGGTTAACCTCCCCAAAATAAAGCACTTACTATTCAGATCCAAAGCTTTTAAAAACATGTCGACAACATAATATTATGTAATGTGTAGAGCATTATGAAGTTGACAGTCAAAATTGATCGTACAGACCCCTAACCATAAGTCATCGATTTTTTTTTTAATTTGAAAATTTGAGCTTGATTAATTTAACTTTTGACGAAAAAGTCAAAGTATATGTAACTATGAAATAAAAACTCAAATTGAATTTAGTTTTAAAAAAATATTCAAAGGATAAATGTCTAAATGCAGGGTAAAATATCACTTAAACTGATTACAAGAACCGATTAAAAATAATTTAATCAGTAAAAAGATTGTAATACTATGTGTTTGCATGTGGTGCATGAATATTTCATGAACATATTTTATTTTATTTTATGCAGACAGTATTTGACTTTTTACTGGACTTGGAACTTGCACTTTATTTCACATTATAATCTTCCTTAAGAAATAAAGCCATGTAAAACAGCTGATTGGAAAGGATTACGCCATTTCTTGGGTCTTATGACCCGAGCCCCGAGATTAAGTGCCTCCCCTGTTTTAACACGTACAGATCGAGCGGGATCCCCAACTGACAAAGAAGGCTCTAATTACCCAGATACCATCAGCCCGGGTGTCTATGTCCTATAAAAATCTACCTAAAACAAAAGATTTGATCGTATCGACTATTCATCAGTCGTCTTTGAAATAAGGGAGCCTAATTGTTATGGCAGTGTCTAGATTTTAGAATTCTTTGTATGGTTCGTTGTTGTCTTGCAGAGAGAGAGAGAGAGAGAGAGAGAGAGAGAGAGAGAGGTTGTTCTTATGTATATACATTTAGTTAACCTGCCAACCTCTCCGTTCGTTTGCTTTGTCTGTGCTGGTTACACACATTATAAATATTTCCAATGAATAATTATAACCTTTTAAAACATACTGGGTTTAAGTCAATAGTACACTGTTTGCCGCCTTTGATGCTATAGTTGTGACCTATGTTGTTAGTAGGTCGGCAAAGTAAATACTGGAAATAATGGACTAAACATTCATTTCTTTTATTCCTGAACTTAATGTAAAGATAACAAAAATAAATCTAGAGTTTATCCGACAAAATCCTAAATTATATATGTACATATTTCGCCTTCTTCAATATCCCTTTGTTACCTCACCAGTGGATAAAAACAGTAAAGGGATGAATTTACTCAGACATTTTCCTATAAATTAGTTCAAACTGACCAGATAAAGTCTTATGGGGTCATGCCCAGTTTGTTTGTATGTTGTTACATATGTTTCACATTAGCTTATATTCTCCTATTTTTTTTTTTTACC